ATAGAAAGTAATTCTTCTTTCAAATATCCTACAGATTCGTTGTAATTTGTTTCCTCTAATTTATTTTTCCAGACAAATACCAAAAGAGCAGCAGGAAATAATCCCAATTCCAGTAATGTTTTGTCAAAAGAATCTTCACAAAATGTAGTCTCTGGCAACCTTTTTAAGCTGAAAGGTCTTTCAGAATGAATCAAATTCTCACTAACAAAATTGATAATACTTTGAAAGTTTTCATGAATTGAAAACGTTCCTTGTAAGATAAGATTATCTGGAAATTTTATACGAATCAATGAAAATTTATATTTTCTAAGCCTTTGTTCTTCCTCTCTTTCTCTCATAGCTTTTGTCCTCAGCATCTGGTTTGTTTCAACAGTTTTAGTTCTATTGGGGAAAGATGTTTAATACAGTTTATTTAATATTTTATTTAGAAGATTTTTATGTATACAGTAGACTCCCTCTTATCTGATTACACTTTAGTCAGTCTCTGCTTTAACCAGCCACATTTTCTTGGGAGTCCCAACAGAAAAACAATTTACATATTGTGTGTTACATAGCTCATTCATGGTTCACAGCATAATTTATCATAAAGGAAATTTCGAAAAGGATTTAATTTTGAAATAAAATAAAAGAAAGAAGATAAAAGTGTAAAGAATTCAACTGAAGAGTTGTGTTCTTGTAGTCAAATATTGTAATGTAGTCTTTTTTATAACTTTTTAAGGTTCTATCCAAAATTTAATATTTCGCCTGTCAGGTAACATGGCAAAAGATTCTAGGAACGAATACAATGCACTGTAACGATCTGATAATTCTTTAACTGTATTTGAATCGCATATAATATGCATATAATATATAACATTTTATATTTTACATGTAAATGATATAAATAATGTTTGGCATATTTTTGGATTAACTGGCCATTCGTTTATACGGTCAGAGGTCCGATCCCGTGGGGACTGGTTAAGAGGGAGTCTACTGTGTATGTATATATATACATATATATATATATTTACCGAAGTTGCTGTTCTTTTGTTATTTCCTCAGGAGTTAAATTGAAAAAATTCGGTGGCAATTCGCTTCTCTTTCTTGCTTCTATAGGTAGCAATACTTGGAGATTTCTATCTAATTCAAGTGGGATGGGCTCCGCAGTTTTTAATGCCTCAATTAACATGGTAACATCTTCAATACTACAATTTTCAGCACTCCAAACTAAAAAATCTTCCTCTTTATCATTATTCAATAACTTCTTTTGCCGAAAACCAGCAGCTATTAAATAATCTAATGCACCTTCAATTGGGAGTACTTTATCCTTTAAAATATTAATTTTGTATTAATATTTTAGAACTACTTTCAATCATACAGTGCAGAAAATTAATAGAAACCTTCA